AAAAGGCTCCAAAAGCACAAACACAGACCAGAGGTCGAGTTCAGGTGAGTCCTAGTAGACAGCTAGCAGCTACAGCTGCTTGTGTCACCATCCACCTGTCAGTCAAAGAGGCCACGCCCCTTTGACTGACATCAATGACAGAGCCCTGTAGAACACCATGAGCTGTAAGAAGGCACTCTGTGGTGGTTTTTGTTGCTCACAGTGATTTCTGATGGTTACTGCTTCCAGTAAAACTCTGGTTTGAATGTAAAATACTTCAGGTCAGACCTTCAGAGGCTCATCATACATGCGGACTTATGTTTCTTAATACAAACATTTCTGTTAAGTTTATTGTGTATTTTTAATATATATATACAGTATCATTAAACCACAGGACTTCTGCTTCTCTGTGTGAAACTAAAGGCTATCGTGAGTATTTTGTCTGACACTGACACCAGGTCAAATGTTCAGATGATTTACCAAAGTTACCAGAATACAATTTAAACAGGTGGGTTAACATGGGAGTCCATGAGGACTCACTGCTGCCTGCGCTGGTCGTTAGAGGAACTGCAGGTTTGGGTTTTTGGCTCTGGAGGTTGAGAAACGTTTTCATGCACAGACAGGAGACCTTTGAAGGTCGTGCGCGAGTAGATACAGACGGTTGGGACTGTACACTGAACATGTTTCTGTTTTCTGTTCCTCAGGGGAGGAGTTTTACGAGACGTCTCCATACGAGCCGATCCACTTCTCTGAGGAATTCAGACATGCCTCCATCATCTCAGGTAACGCCACTGTGTGTGTGTGTGTGTTTGTGTGTGTGTGTGTGTGTGTATGTTTGTGGGAGCAGACTGAAGCAACGGACACACACTCATCTAGGTTGGTGTGGGTGGAGGAGGGGCTGATTAAACTCGGGCCACTCGCTCCATCTGTGAGTGCGTGAATGAATGCGTCTTTGTAATTACAGACGTGTGAGAGAGCGTGCAGCTGAAGCAGCTCTTTCATAAAAACCTATTTTCCGTCCAAAATGCGTTTGTGCCTCTACATACTGCGCTCATTATTCAGAGGGCAGAGAGATAACCTCTGCTCCTTTTCATTACAGGCTGTCACATATCGTTGACATCCCACATGGATCAGTGTGGAGGTGGAAATGTGCTCAGGGCTGCAGCTAATTATTATATTTTCATTATTGATTAACCTGCAGATTACTCTTAATGAAATTATGAAATATTAAGTTTATTAAATGCAGAAAAAATGCTGCAAAATTGCTCATAAGTATATATTGGAGAGTTTCAAGTTTTTTCCCGCTGTTACGTTTCTGTTGCTTTTCACTGCACCTCTGTGGAAACGTCTGCCGTGGAAAGTTTAAAGTATTCACAGATTTGGAACGTCATGCAGTCTTTTGTTTAAAGCACACAGGTGTGGGTGGTGTGGCTCGTTTAGTGGTCAATAAAAAGCTCTGATTAGCACATCTCCTTGTGGAGAGTGCTGCTGTGTGTGTGTAATCATAGTGTTATGTGAGATCAGTGGCAGAGTTACGTGTTGTTTCTAACTATAAAACATCCAGAGTGAGACCATGGCAGGATAATGAAATACACTCACATGTTCTGGTATATGAATCTCACTTATCCTCACCTCTATTAACATAATTAAACTTTATTTATACAGCACCAAATCACAACAGCAGTCACCTCTAGATGCTTTCTGTTGTGAGATAAAGACACTATAATAATACAGAGAAAACCCAACAATCAGACTATGAGCAAGCACTTTGGTGACATTGAGAAGGAAAAACTTCCATTTAACAGGAAGAAACCTTCAGCAGTACCAGGCTCAGGGAGGAGCGGCCATCTGCTGCGACCGATTGGGGAGAGAGAAGGAAGACAGGACAAAGACACACTGTGGAAGAGAGCCAGAGATTAATAATAACTAATGATTAAATGCAGAGATGTATAAACACATACTGAGTGAAGAAGAAACACTCAATGCATCATGGGAATCCCCCAGCAGCCTACACCTATTGCAACATAACTAAGGGAGGATTCAGGGTCACCTGATCCTGTCCTAACTATATGCTTTATTAAAAAGGAAAGTTTGAAGCCTAATCTTAAAAGTAGAGATAGTGTCTGTCTCCTGAATCCAAACTGCAAGCTGGTTCCATTCTACTTTTAAAAATTCTAGGAACAACAAGTAGGCCTGCAGTGTGAGAGCAAAGCAAAGCGCTCTAATGGGGTTATGTGGTACTATAAGGTCATTAAAATAAAACGGAGCCTGATTATTCAGCACCTTGTATGTGAGGAGCAGGATTTTGAATTCTGGATTTAACAGGGAGCCAATGAAGGGAAGCCAATATAGGAGAAATCTGCTCTTGCTGCAGCATTTTGAATAACTGAAAGGCTTTTCAGGGAGTTTTTAGGACCTATCCTAGTTTTGTATCATGTGTCACATGACTGTTGGTACCACCTGGGCTTCTCAGATGCCCTGAAGTGCAAATGGCAAAAATTTTAAATGAGTTTCAATAAACTGATTTTGGTAAAGTATTGGTTTTTCTTGAGGCATATGTAACGCATAGTTGCTCATCAGGAATGTTTGAAGGATGAAATGAGAACAGCGAAGCGGTTAGGCTCAGGCACTAAATCTACCAGGGTCATGTAAGGTGCTGAAAGCTGCTTGTGAGGTTCAGACGCCCTGCAGTCACTGAGTGAAACTGTTGGATGTGTGTGTTCAGTCTTCTCCTTCATACGTTCCAAAGAACCTCCTCGCTGTTGATATCACGGCTGCTGATGACTCAGTTATCATCACCACAGGATCCCTGCAGAGTTATCTTCTTTATCCTCATGCAATGAGCCAGCACCAAAAAATAAAACATAGAAAGGATGTTTTTGGATGCCATCGATGAAGGATTTCATGAAAAGATGCACTTAAATGAATCGATGTATTAAAAATGTGTTTTTCACTCTCTGTCAGCATGTTAGCAGGACTCCATTAAAGCTGTGCATGGCTCTCCGTCTCGGTCTCACACGTTTCTGAGGAGTGTTTAAATGCCAGACGCCCTCAGCGATACAGCGTCATTTACACTTTCTTTCTGTGTGTGTGTGTGTGTGTGTGTGTGTGTGTGTGTGTGTGTATGTTAGTGTGTGTGTGTGGTCAAACATCTGTGAAATAGACTCACGGCTCTGTAAATTGGCTTCTGCTCTCTCAGATTAACACGAGTCCAAACAACACGGTCAACGCAGGAGTGCTGCAACCAACACAGCTTCAAAAGCACTTTCTGTTCCTAACACACTCACACTCTCTTTCACAAACTCTCTTTCTCTCTC